CTTAAAATACAAAAAAATGAAGGCTGGTTAAGTTCAGCAGTCCTCTTGAAAATTCTGGGCATCTGCTGAGCAATTATTGCATTCCTTTGTGTTTTCTTGCAGCAGCGTGCAGCACATTAATTTTCTCAGATTACATTTTTTTGGGGAGAAGAATCTGCATTTTTAATTTGCATAGAGCAGCATGCCTTTTGGCTGCTCTGGCCTGAATGACACCTTTTAGTCAGCAGCCCAAAAGCAGCAGGAGACTGAGATGGGTGATAAGTGTCAGCTGGTCTAACGACACCAAACACATCCCAATCGTTGTCACCCATGTAGAGGACGGATCTTTCCAAATGGTTGGAAAATTCAGCCCTCTGTTTAATTCTTTACCATGATGCCTTGGTGTGCCTTGTGGCGTCAACCACAGAAAAAAACGTGGCTGCAGACAACCAGAGACCAACACATGCACCCCTCTGTAAGGATCTGTGTGTTAACTGTGTCTGAGTGTAAAACGGGTGCAGAAATAAGATAAAACAAGAGCGCTAATGGTGTAAAGTTGTATGTTTTAGTGCAGATTGTGAGCGTTTGGGTTGAATGTTGGAAATGTTGGGGATGCACAGGTCTGCTGGGAGTGAGCAGAGACTGCAGCTCGAGGCTCGACCCTCTGTTCAACTGTATACACAATACATACAAAACTGAAATATTTTTAACTTAAACACTGAAAAAAATGACTTTAAAGGTAATAAACCTCCTGAAAGGTAAGAGCTACACCGAAAAGAGTACGTTCATTTTATCAAGAAGAAACAGGAAGCTAATCTGGGCATGGGCCGGCATAGAGATGACTTTTAAGAAAAAAATATCAGTTTCACGTCATTGCAGAATTAAACAAACATTTAAAACACAATTTGTTTGCTTTTATTTAAAAAAGTACTGTATATGCAAAGACCAAGTCTAAATCATATCAAATATTGCTTTGTATTGATTGTATTATAGCGTAATAATATAATTCTTAATACAGTTGTTTTAGCTTTAATGCACAGATATAATATTAATCCGGAGACTGAAAGAACAAAAGGGAACATGTTGACAGTCTGTTTAAAATCTGCATTACCTTTTTCTCGCTCTCAGGAAAGATTTTAAACTAATTTGTGATCAGATTACAATTTCTAAAAAATTTCATTTACAATAACACATGGAAAGGCAAAAATTTTAATTTAATAACATTTATTTAGATTAATTTAGAAACTGAACACCAGAGTATCAACAGGTCTTTAGAAGACAATTTGTGCATAATTCAATGACATAATTCAATGAAAATTTAATTAATTTTTTGATAATTCAATGACACTCTAGGGCGCTGACGTTTCACCTTTAAGACTATTTTTGGCCAATTTGAGAAATAATAAGGGAAAACTATCATTTTCCTTTCTTACCATCAACACAAAATACACACAAAGTAAACTACAAATCAATATAATTATAATTCTGAGGAATAATGTACTTGCAGCACAGTTTAGGACTTCCTCTCTGATGTTCTGCTCTTTGCAAAGTAACGTTGACAGCCTAACGAGCTGAGTTTAGTTAATTAGTTAGCTGGGTATTAGCTTCTGCAGCAAGCCTGCAGTTTATATTTCAGCTGCTAACATGCTAACTCTTGTTGCTTGTTACAAACATTCGTTTCAAAACAAGTGTCGCTCCTCTGGAAGCCATGAGTGACTGTGTTATAGATCTGTGGTTCCAAACCATGGTCCTTGAGGAACGCCATCCTGTATGTTTTAGTTGTTTCCCTGCTCCAACACACCTGATTCAGTGATTTTATTACTTCAAGTTCTACCAAAGCCTGTTGAGCATTCATTCATTCAAATCAGGTGTGTCAAAGGAGGGAAACAACTAAAACATGCAGGATGGTGTTCCTCAAGGAAATGGGTTGGGAGCCTTTTTCTTCTTCTTCTTTTTTTTTTCTTCTTCTTTCAGCTGTTCCCTTCTTCAGGGTTTGCCACAGCGAACTAAGTCGCACAAAGACTTGGCAATTATGTGTGGAGCAGAGAGCTGATATCTAGGACGCTCGGAGGAGCAGAAGGTGGGCGTTAAGGGCCTTGCTCAGGAGCCCAGAGTGGGACAAATGAGGGTGGAGGCAGATGTGGGTGCATCACCTATCCCACCCACATTTTGATGTTGTCGGTACCGGGAGTTGAACCAGCGATCTTCCGATTACAGGCGCACCTTCTCTAACATCTGTGCCACCATTGTTATAGACTAAATATTAAATGTATAACCAACTGAGGCTGTTCTTTTATTAACAAGCATAAACTTTTAGGGGATCTCCACCCTCGGTCCAGTCACACCCCATCTTTGTTGTCTCATTTTTAGGCATCTAAACATGAATATGATAAAAAACATTTAACCGTTTTGACTTTCAACACTTTGAAAATTAATATTGGCCCATGCCTTTAACATATGAATGCAGGAAACAGCTAAGAGGCTAATATTAGCTGCATTCCCCTGACAAGTAGACTACATGTTTGTGTGCATGGGTGTACCTAGGTTTACAGTGAGTCGGACGCGGCCCCCATCCAGCTCCAGACGAAGGGTGTCTGCGGAGTTACGGGAAGTGGTTGCCATGAGAACGCCGTAGGCCCGCTGGGAGCGAAAGCGTAGCGAGACGTCCTCCGCCTCGGTGTGCATCGCCACAGGCAACTGCACCTTCATAAACTTACTCCCATCATAAGAGAGGATGGTTGCATCTGTGCAGGAAGTGGAGAGGGAGCCGGATAAGAAGGGAGTGACAAAGGGGATGAAGGGGAAGAGAAAAATGATTGACAGGGGAAAAAAACATGAAGTAGGGGAAGACAAAAGCACAAAAGCATTCTGACAATCAGATTAAAACATGACAAAGTATGTTTCAGTGCTGCTACGCTCCCTTGTTCCCCAGCCGCGACATGTTGAGACTCAAAACCTGCTTCCAACAAAATTATCCCGTCACTCCAGCCCTGATTCATCATCCCTCCCTCGCCTTAGAGGAGAGGGTGCAAAAATAGCTGCAGCTGGTTGGCTGGTCCTATTATCTGGTTAAATCAGAATGCACGATGTTGAGTGTGTTAGCCACCGTCGCTGACATCCCAGACCCCGGAGTCAAAACGTAACAAGCTCAGGTGATCCCACTTTAATGTCTTTTGCATACTCATTTACATATTCATAATCTTGTCTCCCCATTACATGCTGGGGCCAGCTAAACTGTTTACCTCAGAGAACCCTGCTTTTATTGGCCAATTAAATGCATAACCAAACACTCCATGCATATGCATTCTTATCGTTCCTCTTTCCATTCTTCCTATATCTCTCCATGCATTTCCTTCCACCCTTTAGTTTCGCGCACCATGTTTCTGTGGGAGACGGTTAAAGCCAAGGCAAGAAAGGAAAAAGACCAAAAAAACACAAGAGAACAGGAAGGGAGGAAGGCGTCATGAATACTGATGAGCTGAGAAGTAGAGAAAGAGAGAGATAGTGTGTTTGTGTGTGTGCATGTCAGAATAAGTGAGTGAATTTAAGTGTGAACAGAGAACGGTTTAGTAAAGTGAGAGCAGGAGGGGGGAGAAAATAAGGACAGGACGTGAAATAGAGAGGCAGAGGCAGCGAAGCTCTTGGCTAAAATGCAAATGAACCCTCATTAACTTGAGGAAAAAAGAAGGTGGTTGGCCTGTTATATCACAGATAACATAACCAGGAGCCACACATACACCCACCAGGGTGCACGCGTGCATGCATTTTTGATAAGAGAGACAGCTGACTAAATTTTCCTCGCCGCGGCACCTGACTCACAACCAGCCAAACAGAGGATGGAATGTCTTCAGGAGGGAAGAGTGCGGGTCTATTTATGCCAGGAAATGAAAAGGAGAACAGTGGAACGCACACCGTCTGTGCAGCGTGGACTGGATGGATAACAGCTAAAGTGAAAGATGACGTCAATGACTTGTAAAAATTTAACCCAATCAAATGTCTAAATGTTTGTTTTATTCCTTATAACCAGATCTTAGAGCTGGTTCCACAGCAGCTAACAAGAGTTTCAAGCAAGAAGAGGTCCTTTGAAAAAGATATGCGTTTTTTTTTAATTGTGTGAATGTTTATGAAGCATTCACGCTATTGTGATCCATTTTACTTACGTACATTTTTTGGCATCATTCTCGTCCCACAGTTTTCAAGCTATTTCAACAAATCATTTACCAAAGCGTTCAGCTCGTTCAGGAGAAGGTTGCTATGACTTGTGGTTTTGGTGCAACTTTAGCTTTTTGAAATATTTAGCCTTTTCTGCCACTTTTTCCTTATAGAAAATGAATTGAGCTCATTTTACATCCTTCAGATCTTTAGATCTGTTTAAAACATTTTACTGCTCTCTTCACATTTTGTTCTGCTTCAGCTTCTTTCAGCTTCCTTGTGCAAATTAATTTTTTCAGCTAATTTAAACTGTTTTATAAGCTCTTTTCAGCTGTTTTTCAGCTGGTTTGTGCTCCTTTTAGGATCTTTATGCTAACTACAACATGTTTGTGCTTCTAACTTTGTTCTGCTCCTTTCAGCTTTTTCTGCTATTTCAACTACTATTTAACTGTTTTTTATGCACATTCCACTTTTGTTGCACTAATTTAAACTTTTTTTCAGCCTAATTCAGCAAAAATGAGCTCTCTCCACTTCCTTCTGGTAATTTAAGCTTCTTTCTGCATTTTCAGTTTTTTTTTTGTTGTTGTTGCTAATTTCAGTTTTTTTCAGGTAATTTCCACAAATTTACGCTGATTTCTGCTTCTTTCAGCCTAATTGGACAAACCTGTTCTTTCTGCTTTCTTCTGCTAATTTAAGCTTGTGCTACCTTTTCAGCTACCTTTTTTTTAGCACATTCTAGCTAATTTAATCTGTTTTCAGAAAAAAACAATTTTTTTTGTGTGATAATTTCAGCTACTTTCAGCCTAATTAACTTATTTCTGATAATTTCAACTTGTTGTGCTCTTTTCAGCTTATTTCTGCTAGTTTCAGTTATTTTAGCTACTATTTAGCTGTTTTATGCTAATATTAGTTTTTTCAGCTAATTCCACATTTTTGCATTAATTTTAATGTTTGTGTTCTTTCTGCTTTCTCCTGCTGATTTATGCTTGTTCTACATATTCAGCTACATTTCAGCACGTTTTTTTAAGCTAATTTCAGCTGTTTTTCAGCAAGTTCTTCTGCAATAAGCATTCACACTGCATTTTTGCAGGAAATGCAGTGTCTCTACTTAATTTTTAAATACACAGAATAGAAAGGATGGCTAACAAAAAAAATGAATAAAATCAAGATTTGCTATGACGACGAGTTGCCAGCTGTACATTTCCTGAAAAAGTTAAGTGCTTCACAATCATTTTTAGAAAATAAATTCAGCTTTCTTTCCATTTGAGGATGAATGTAATTCCTGAAATTTTATATTAAGAGTTTTTCTTTACTCGCACTTCTGAGCAGGTGACTCAGAAGCACAAAAAGATTCAAGAGTGTTCAGTAATGGACTGAAATGCAAGTGCACTCTTCAAACGTGCAAATGGAGCGGCACAAACAACAGTTTGGGGGAGAAAAAAACTAACACACAACATAATGTTAACTTTTAAAAAGGACGTAACACAGAACACTTCATTAGTCCCATTGGACAATGTCTTAAATGTCTCTAAAACTCATATTTAGAACAAAGGGTTAGCATTCCTTGAAGAAATGCATATCGCTCACCACCGCCAGCGTTTTAAAGTAAAAAGTTGAGTTGAAGCCATTTTGATCAAACCCTAAATGAGATGAACATAATCTGTGTTTAGCTGGCTTATGGCTGCAGGGTCAAAAAAACTTGCAATTGTTTTTACAACCATAGAAACAAATATGGAAATTATTTCTACTTGCATATTATTTATAAACTCTACTTCCAACAAGTCAAACACAAACATATAAAAAGGTTTTGTGTGTAGTAACCATCCAAGAATGCTACGGAGAGGTAACTGTTTCTGCTTGAAAGAGTAAAACTATTAAGAAATGATGACATCGTCTGATGTCCAATTAAAATATGTCAACGTCTGACTCAATTTGATGAGTTTTGTGCAAAAGTCACAGTGCTGTTACGGGCTACATTCACTCTTTCTGATCAGTGTGATGGTGGTAGTCTTAATTTTTTTCCACAATTGAGAAAATACATTTATAGGCTAAAAATGTTTTTTTTTTGTCTAAGTGTGTTCATGTGTCTGTTTGCAAAATATCTCAAAAACTACTTGACAGATTTTATTGAAACTTCTAAAAAATAATTAATGCATCTACTTCTACAACTGATTAACTTTTGGAGCAAACCCTATTTAAGATGGCTGTCACAGCTAACTGACTTGGAGAACACAAAAATGTCTATCACTCGGATAATTTTACAGATATTGAGCTACAATTTGGTGCTGTGGTAGTTGAGCAAGGTCCCCAACAGTTACTCAAAGCACATTACATTGCAATGCATTTTTTCTTAAAACTTTGACATTTACTTTTGATAGGTCAGTTTGTCTGTTAACAAAATATCTCATAACCACTGGACAGATTTCGATGAAGTGCTCAGAAAGTAATTATTGGCTGTATCAGGTTGGATCAAAGTGGCTATAACTTTGTCATTTTTCCACATCAGGTGAGCTCAGTCTAAAATTCAGTTTTTATTTTAATCTTTAAAAGCCTTTACAGTAACTGCATCCACCTCTTGTACATCTAACTACAGAAATTGCATTTCCTGCGAAAATGCAGTGTGAATGCTTATTGCTGAAGAACTTTCTAAACAAAAGCTGAAATGAGCAAACAACATGCTGAAATGTAGCTGAAATGGAAGAACAAGCCTAAATTAGCATAAGAAAGCAGAAAGAACACATATTTGCTGAAATAGGTTTAAATAAGTAGAAATAAGCAAAAAAAAAGTTTTTAAAGAAATTATCTAATTAGCAAAAAATAGTTGAAAAGTAGCTGAAAACGCAGAAAGAAGCTTAAACTACTATAAGGAAGTGGACAGAGCTGAAAAGAGCTCCAAAAATGTGGGATTAGCTGAAAAAGCTAAATTTAGCACAAAAAAACCTAACAAGTAGCTGTAATAGAAGAACAAGCTGAAACTATCTGAAATTAACTGAAAGGAGCATAACAAGCTGAAATTAGCAAAAAATAATTGAATTAGGCTGAAAGTAGCGGGAATTACCACAAAAAACGAACTTATCTGAAAACAGATGAAATTAGCTTAAAATACTAAAAAGGTAGCAGAAAAGGTAGAACAAGCTTAAATTAACAGAAGAAAACAAAAATAACATGTTTGCCCAGTTGGACTGAAAGAAGCAGAAATGAGCACAAAAAAAGGGACATAGTGTGAAAAAAGTAGAAATTATCAAAAAAAAAAAAAACAGCTGGAAAGTACTAAAAAGGCAGAAAGAAGCTTACATTACCAGAGGAAGTGGAGATAGCACTTTTTTACTCAATTAGGCAGAAAAAAGTTGAAATTATTGCAAAAAAATGTGGAATTAGATGAAAAAGCTAAAATTAGCATAAAAACAGCTAAACAGTAGCTGCTGTTGGATAATTTAATTATCCTATCATCAACTCATTAAATAAATAGCCACAAAGAGGACAAGAAGAAGATATTTTCAATCCAGGCCACATGCATGGCTCAATATAAATTTGACATTAGTAAGTCCTTAGATAGAGAACTTTACTAATTGTCTTTTATGTATGTGAATGTTCCTGTAAAGTGCCCTGAGACATCTTTGTTGTGATTTGGCGCTATATAAATAAACCGAATTGAATTAGGTGAAAAACATCCATGACCTTTACATCCCCATCAGCTGAAATAGCAGAAAATGCTGAAACTTGCAGAAATAAGCTGAAAGGAGCATAACAAGCTGAAATTAGCAGAAAGAAGTTAGAAGAAGTACAAAAATGTAGTTAGCAGAAAGAATCTGAAAGGATCAAGAAACAGCTAAAATTAGCTGAAAGTAGCTGAAAAAAAGGTTTAAATTTGCACAAGGAAGCTGAAAGAAGCTGAACCAGAACAAAATGTGAAAGGAGCAGTAAAAGTTTGTAAACAGATCTAAAGATTTGAAGGATGTAAAATTAGATCAATTCATTTTCTATGAGGGGAAAAAATGGCAGTAAAGGCTAAATATTTCAAAAAGCTAAAGTTGCACCAATACCAAAAGTCGTAGCACCCTTCTCCTGAACGAGCTGAACGCTTTGATATATGATTTGTTGAGATAGCACTAAAATTGTGGAACAAGAAAGAAGCTGAAAAACATACGGAAGAAAAATGGATCACAATAGAGTGAATGCTTCATAAACATTCTCACAATAATGGTCTATGTTTGGTACAAAGGCAGCTGTGGCTGTAAGACAGCTGGATATAAATGTACTGGTAAGGATGAAGAGTTTAAAAGTAAAAACTTAATATATAAAGATCTGATCTGGCACGTCAGCACTAGAATTGTGTACTGAGTTTCTTCTAAAAAAAATCTATAGAGTAATTTCAACTCATTACATCAAAATAAAAAAGCAAGATGAGGCTGAAAATGTGATGTAAAATAAAAATTAATCTCAGAGCCAAAGCGTGACGACCATGTTTGTTTAATAAAAGAGAGGGAGAGCGGGGGGGAACGAGAGGGAAAAAAAGGATGGAGAAAACCGCAGGTAGAAGGCATAAACACGGCCAATCACTCTCTCCATCTGCTTCTCCATCTGTGCTTCCTCAATCCACTGAACCACCAGTTAGTGACCCCTCAGTGCACACGGAGAGGGATGAAGAAAGACACAGATAGGACGAAAAAAAGAGGGCGCGCTGCAGATTTTTGTCCTCGGAAATAAAACGTTTTCTTATCAACCTCTCGGAAAGTGCGCCTGCGTTCGTGTGTGTGGCGTATATCTGCTGTTCGATGATAGTACAATCATCACTTGAGGCGCATCAGCGGTTGTGACACAAACAACATTTCATATTTTTTCCCTTGTCTGACTCCATCTTGCTTCTTCTTCCAACAGGCTCCTATCAATCCCCTCCGCCAATCTCTGCGACTTGTCATTTCTCTTTCTATCTGAATCCGTACCTTTTCTTATAACTCTCTCTCACACACACACACACACAGATTTCTTCTTCTCCTCCTCCTTGCATGCTGTCATATGGCGGTTCCAGCTCGGTGAATCCACCCTTCTCTGTCACGGCTCCAGCTCGCTGCTTGCTGCACATTTCCTCTCTCATCGATTCCCAGTCACTACGTCTATAGCGGTTCGATAGTCCTGTCTGCAGCTCTGCATCCTCCCACCACTTTTCTTTCACCTTTGCTGCTCTTCTTCACTGCCCACATTTTACTACTCTGCCTCTGACACAGAAAAATGTGTAATTTTGAAATAAAACAGGAAGCAGCCGAAGATAGAAAACCAGCACTATTAATATTTTGGGTTGCCGAGCATTTTCCCTCACATGCCCTTATTTCCTATCTCCACATATCCAATCCTACTGTTCTCCACTTCTTCACGTAGCTAAACTCCATGTGAGCAATTTTATTCAAAAAAGATTTTTAGTCACAGTTTTATCTACCATAAAATTTTATGGGGGACCCTTTTCAGCACAACAGGACGAGTTCTGTCATGCTGATGTGATCTGTTAGGATGGAGCTTTTAAAGGAAGAAAAGCATAAATCAAAGGTAAAACGAATAAAAACTTTATGGACCCAGTATCGTAATGTAAATTCAGCAGTGGACGGGGTTATTTCTGACCTGACTTCATCTGTCTTCGCTCGTTATTTTGGCATTACTCTGTGTTCACAGGATGACTGACAGCGCTGTCGCCATGACTGTGTTTTAAATCTCCACGTTTTAGAAAGTTTTCCAGAAAAAGTTGCTGTTTAAAGACGACGCTGAGTCAACTTACACATCTTTACTGTAAGAATGAGTTTTAATTATCTGAGTATGACAACGATCAGCCAAAAGTTCAGTTATTTTTATCCAAAAAGCCAGTTTATAGTGTCTTTTGTGCATTTATTGGATTGTAACGACTTTCAGTTATTTTAACCATTCATAATGTTCAGCTTATTCAGGATGTTACAACTATGACATTTAGGGTTTGTACCTCTAATGCGTTTAGAAATCATTAACTTTATTTACATTTTCCCTCTTGAAATGAATGAACTTTTCAAGTTCTTGAAAAATGTTGTGCTCTTTGAAATATTTTATCCATCAGGCCATCAGACTGTTCAACTCCTCCCCGTACAGTAAAGATAGAGTAACTAGGACCCTGCGTACATAATCTCGGTCCACCACATGTACCACATGTGGTGTGCATGACAAATAAATCTCTCTGATTGACTGATACATGTACATATAGATAAGTGTATGTTTGCTTAGATGTGAATGTACTGTATGTGTATATATATATATATATATATATATATACTATATATATACTATATGTATATAGGTTAATCCTGAATGTAGTACTCCCTTCCACCTTGTGCATGTGCGTACAGTATTGTCTTTTTCCAAACTTGTGTATTTTGATTATTTTTTGATTGTTTCGTCTGTCTGTCTGTCTGTCTGTCTGTCTGTCTGTCTGGCTATCATCTACTTAATCACACTTCACATTTTGTTTTATCTACTGCTTAGTCAATTTTAGATTTTAGCTACTGTTTTGTTCATTTGAGATTTTAGCTACTTCTTTGTTCATTTTAGCTTTTAGCTACTGTTTTGTTAATTTTAGCTTTTAGCTACCGTTTTGTTCATTTTAGCTTTTAGCTACTGTTTCGGTCATTTTAGCTTTTAGCTACTGTTTTGTTCATTTTATCTTTTAGCAGGTGTTTAGCAAACTTTATCTTTTAGCTGCTGTTTAGTAAATTGTATCTTTTAACTGTTGTTTTGCTAATTTTAGCTTTTGTACTGAGCATTTTGACTTGAACGCTGTAGTTTTAGCTTCTTTAACAAATTTTAGCAGTCATTCAGCATTCACATCATATTTTCACAGCAAATGCAGTCTCTCTAGTCCATTTTTGATTCATCACAATTTGGACATTTCTGAATGGAATAAAAAATGTCCAAATTTGATTATAGTTTAATGTTGGTGCCACTAAAATCTGATGGGCTATGGACATCCACTGCCACACCATCTTATTTATATTTTAAACGTAACATTTGAACTTCTTTTGTTCATTCTGAGCCCCAAATCTTGTTTGAATGAAAGCTGTTATATGCTGTAGAGAAAAATATTTATCTTCTTTGCTCAGGATTTTGTTTAGAGTGCGATTCTGAATGCATCAAGCTTCATAAACAATTGTTTTATAATCCCATCTCAGCTTTATGAATCATAATCATCATTAGATGCCTAAAAATTCCCATTCTGCGTGAAGGCCCTCTCCAGTCTCCGGCTGTGTCCTCACCTCTCTCACAGGAGCGCCCCAGGTAGCCGGTCCCGGAGCAGTCACAGACGTAACGATTCCAGCCCTCCCTGCAGACGCCGTTGTGCTGGCAGGGGTTGGACAGGCACTGTTTGGGCGGCTCTCTGGAGCACGAGGGCTTTACCCCGACCGCCCTCTGGGCCTCAGCTAACCGCCGGATGTCTTTGCTCTGGCCGTCCACAAAAAGGTCTCTGATACAGCCGACGTAGCCGTAGTTCAACAGAGCCGTCCATACCTGGAAAACAAGTCAACAGCAGAGAAGTTCATCTCAATGGTTTCATTATCATTCGCCACCAAAGGCAGAATTGTGCATGTTTGTCTGTGAGTTAGCAAAATATTGATTAAACCACTGGAAAGATTTTAATGAAACTCTCAGAAAGTAATCAATTGATGTGCATCTACAACTAATAGTGTGAATGTTTATGAAGCATTCACACTGTGATCCATTTTTCTTCTGTATATTTTTCAGCACGATTTGTGTCCCGCAGTTTTCAAGTTATTTCAACAAATCATAAATCAAAACGTTCAACTTGTTCAGGAGAAAGGTGCTATGACTTTTGGTACTAGTGCAACTTTAGCTTTTTGAAATATTTAGCCTTTTCTGTTCTTCTTTTTTTCTCATAGAAAATGAATTGAGATCATTTTCCATCCTTCAAATCTTTACATGTGTTTACAACCTTTTACTGCTCCTTTCACATTTTGTTCTGGTTCGGCTTCTTTCAGCTTCCTTGTGCTAATAATAATAATTTTTTAAAAATCAGTTATTTTCAGCTTTTATCCCAGCTGTTTTGTGATCTTTTCAGATTCTTTCTGCTAGATACAACATTTTTGTTCTTCTTCTAACTTCTTTCTTTGAGTTTTAGCTTGAAATTCTCTTTTAGCTTCTGCAAGTTTCAGCTTTTTCTACTATTTCAGCTACTATATAGCTGCTTTTATGCTAATTTAAGCTTTTTCAGCTATTCAACATTTTTTGCACTTATTTCAACTTTTTTCTGCCTAATTCAGCTAAAATGTGTTCTCTCCACTTATAATTTCAGTTTCTTTCTGCCTTTTTAGCTACTTTTCAGTTTTTTGTTGTTGTTGCTAATTTCAGCTTTTTTTTCAATAATTTCCACTTTTTGCGCTAATTTTTGCTTCTTTCAGCCTAATTGGACAAATGTGTTCTTTCTGCTTTCTTATGCTAATTTAAGCTTGTTCTACATTTTCAGCTACCTTTATAGCTCATTTTAGCTGTTTTCAGATAAATCCAAGTTTTTCATGATAATCTCTGCTACTTTCAGTCTAATTAACTTCGTTCTGCTAATTTCAGCTCATTATGCTCCTTTCAGCTTATTCTTGCTAGTTTCAATTATTTCAGCTACTGTTTAGCTGTTTGTATGCTAATTTAACTTTTTCAACTAACTGTACATTTTTTGCACGCATTTCAACTTTTTTCAGCGTAATTCAGCAAAAATGGGCTCTCTCCACTTCCCTCTGGTAATTTAAGCTTATTTCTGCATTTTTAGCTACTTTTCAGTTTTTAGGCTTATTTCAACTTTTTTAGCTAATTTTTGTGCTCATTTCTGCTCATATAAACCTAATTCAGCCATCATTTCTTCTTTCTTCTGCTAATGTAGGCTTGTTTTTTCATTTCAGCTACATGTCAGGATGTTTTTTAGCTAATTTCAGCTGTTTTTCAGCAAGTACTTCAGCAATAAGCATTCACACTACATTTTCGCAGGACATGCAATTTCTCTAGTTAACTTTTGGAGTCAACCACAGCCACACATGCAAGCAAACACAAACGTTATAACTCAGTCAGTTTCACAGATGTCGAACTGAGATTTGATGTGGTAGTAGCTGAGAGTCATCTTAGTTTAAAACTCATGCATGAAAGGCAGTGGACGACATTCCTTCAAGGAATGCTAGTTTGTTAATGTTCTCATTGTTTTGTTTGGTAGCACAAATCAGCTGATGAAAAAAATATATATACTTATTTTATTTTAAACCAAAACTGGATTGTTTCTTTCAGGATCCCTTTTTTTGGCATTTCGTGGTTTGTGTTCACTTCTTTTGTGTTGGATAATTTTTTGTAAAAGATGTTCATAATCATGTTTTATAAAACTAAATCGGCGTGACAAGAAGAATAAACTCAATTGACGTGTCAGAGGTGCTTTGTAGCTGCGATACTGAAGACTGCATTATGCTACGGCTCTGTAACAAACTCGAAGAGAGTCAATAATTGTATGATTTTTGTAACACTTTGTAGAGCTTTGTTCAATTTGCACAGCCTGAATGTGGAAAAAATAAAAGTAAACACTAAAATAACAGTTTCCATTCCTTCACATCAATGGATAACTAATATTGTACTTTACATTGCTCGATTTAGCCTGGTGCTTTGGAGTTGGACTTTAAAGAAAAAAAATATGTTATTTTAATATTGAGTTGCTGGATTTAGCACTAACTTTTAACTGCATGTACCAATATTATACATACTGGAAATGAAAAATGGTAGCTGAACAGGAGATCGGATTTAAAAAAGTGAAAATCGAGGTTATAAACCTCCAAGAGGTGATGAGAGGAGTGGAGGCAGATGAGCTAATTAGGAAGAGTGGGTCCACTTCCTTTTCTTATTGTCTGTGCATAAACCAGCTGAAGGCGATGCTGGTGAGGAGTGAGTGCTTTCTGTAAAGAGTAAAATGTTTGCAGGTGAGAGTGGGCGCCGCTTTAAAACAATGTGGCTCAGTCAGAACTCTCATGGTTAATTCCGCCATTAATCATGTGCGGGAAACGTGCCACAAAGAAAAATATGTACCATCAATCAGCTGCTGGTTAATGCACAGCTTAGAAAACAATACATTCAGCAGATTTTGTTGCTTTTAAGATCCATTTTAGACAACCTTGTTTCTTGGTATCAACACAACCATGTTGCTTTTATCGACTGCACGATATAGAGTACGCCGCTTTAGCTGCAAGGTCTGAGCAGAGCATTTAGTGCATGTATTACATGTTTAAACGCTCCACACACTGAACTCAGTGCAGCGGTAATAGGTTTGAGCAATATTTTGCAGAAAGTATGATAAGAATTAATAATGTTCTTTGCAAATAAATAAAAAAATCAATCTTTACACTAGTTAAAGGCCTTGCATTGCAAATGCCTGCTGCTTTTTATAAGAAACTTTTACACTAAGATCAATAAATTCAGAGAAATTACAAAGTTGAAACCAAATGGTCAAACTTTGAAAACAGCATCAATCTTTTAGTGCATAGAATATGTGTTGTGAATAACTGTCAGTGACTACCACACCCAATTTTAGCTCTGTATCTGTAAATATGACAAAATATAGCTATTTTTCTGTTGGCGAGGGTTCAATAGTCGAAGTGGGTTAAAGCTAAAAGTATATCATTCATTCAACCTTTATGGTATCCAGGTTAGTCTCAATGAGTCATGAGGACTCATTTTCAACAGAAACCTACTTTAAACAGATAACATGTGATTTACAGACAAAAATAATTGAACAAAAAGCAATTAAAATCAAATAAGTTATAAACACAGTCAAATCAAGATGCCATATAAAACAAGGTAAAATACTAAAAAACAAGAACATATTTGCTTTGTCAAAGTTCATGCTCAATAATCCAGGTTAAAAAAAAATCCAACAAAGTTAAGTCAGATCCTCTGGACTACCACTTTGGTTATGGCTGCCTCAGAGGAGTTGATGGGGGAGAGGGTGGACACCAGAAACCATCTTATCATCATCAAACTGGTTGGCCCACTATGTGAATGTGCTAGTTATGGGACTGAATTTGTTGTGGCTCCTCGGACTGATGAAATCATTTGGATGAAAGACAAAACGTTTCAACACAAAGAAACCGTCCAGAGGACCTGACTTTGTTGGATATTTACTTTGATTTTTCTAATGACATTATCAAATGTTTAAAATCCCTTAAATAAATTAAAGTGGACAGCTTAAGATCTTTTTGTAAGGTGTTCCAGGTTCCAGGAGCAGATTTTCTCATTTGGTTTATAATTGTTTTTGTGTTTTAAATATGAAATGAATAAAAATGACAAACAAACAAGAAAAAGGCCTTTTTGCTGAGTTCAGTCCACACTGAGGGGACACTGCAGGTAATGAATCCCTGAGGGCGCACGCTGTAACTGCACTGATGATACGACATGTGGGAGGAGATATAAGAAGGTAGCAGATCAAAGAGTGACTTATAGATAAAAATTAACCAGAGTGAGAATCTGTGTGAAGTTAATGATGACCAATTGACCAGTGAATACAGAGTGCAGTGATGGGTAAAGTAGTTAAAACCAGTTAAGAACATTAGTGACCCATGGTAGTCGGCATCCAGCATCTGCAAGGAGCTGGTAGAGGCATTCATGTAAATCAGTTGTAGATGTACATCAAATGATTTCTAACAGTTTCAGTAAAATATTTTCTCTATCTCATGAGCTATTTTGCTAACAACTAAGACTGACATCTAAATTAAATGCAAAAGTTCTAGGCAAAAACGTTGCACTATATGTAGCATTTCGAAGGTGTGTTGGTGATCATTCTCTGCTACAACACCAATTATAGCTCAACATCTGTCAGTTTGACAGATTTGTAACCATTTACGCGTTAGCTAAGATCAATTACATGTGGCGGCCATCTTGAATTGGACTCAAAATGTTATTCAGTTGTAGATGTTTATGCAAAACGTTCATTTCTGAGTGGTTTGATTAAATCCCTTCAGTGGTTTATCAGATAATTTGCTAACACAACAGATAAACACACACAGACAGGCAAAAACATAATCACCTTTGTGCCTTTGTTGGTAGCTGATAATCAAAACCCAAAGAAATTAAATCTTGATAAATATTTATTGATCTGCGATAATAAAAAAAATGTCATTTTTGTACCTATTCTTCATGTTATATGTGCAGAGAAAGCAAACTGAACAAAGCAGATCGATTCACAAACACAGTTTTATGTGTAAAAAGACGTAAATTATTCATTTTTTTTAATGACCTAATCGTTGCTGCTCTAAAACAATCATAATATGAGACACTGCAGAAACACAAACCTCCGTAGGGAAGATGAGGCCTGCACGGTCCTCAGGAAGTCCTCCAAGGTACAAGGTGTCATCCAGGTCCAGGATCTCGCTGTCTCCCGGGGCCGTGTACGCTGTCCTCACACTGTTCACCGAGATGGTTCCTGAACGCATCAAAACAACGTTAGAAATCGCTCTGACCTTCAGCTCAAACATCCTCAACACAGTCAATGCCACCACCAGCAGCATTACAACCGCCGTCATCATCATCCTTCCTCCTCCTTGTCCTCACCCACACATCGTTGTTATAATCAGACGCAATTGAAGCCCAACACTGCACAGGCTTTAGTCATCACGTATCTTTGAAGCCAGGGGAGGGCAGTAATTTTTCGGTGCTCAGAGGAAAAATTCAATAATAACCTTTCAGGATATTCTAAATGAAAAGGGCCTGAGATGCAGATAAACTCATCATTTCTGTGTTCCGGCTTTAGAAAAACGCCACTCACAGTGGGAGACTTGGTCCAGTTAGGGGTAATTTTTAAACCAAATTAGATAAAACAGCAGTAAAAAGAGTCATAAAAGAACGGGACAAAGAATGAATAGGTTCAACAGAGGAACCTCAGGGTTTGAGCCGTGCCATTGATGCCATATTTTAGTGCATACACGGCCCTTTATGGAGGGTTGGCTCTACGTACAACACAGAGGGAGTTTGTTACTGGTTTTATTTCTAGATGGTGGTTAAAAATTGTTACATGGAACATTTTGTCACAAATAAATGATCAAATTGCTTATTTTTAAACATTATTACAGTCACACCTTTCAAACAAGACCCCTATTGAGAACACTGGCAGCCTCTACTGAGGGGTTTTAGACTATAATTAACACAGAGGTGGAACAATAACTATATGAGCAGCACGCTTAACACGACTCAAGAGCAGGCGGACAGAAATAAATCTGCACCGTGCCATTACTTTGAATGTAATAGTGGTCATAAACATTAAAGTAAAAGGTTTTTTTTTTTCATTTATCTACCAACAGTGCTTTTCTCAAAAAACATTATGTATGAAAAATGTGGTCATAATGTTGAGTAAAATTAGGAGACGTGTCTGTAGATTCACTCTCAGAGAAGGCTGCAGCTAAATTTGTCAGTGCTGCTTTGTGTGTTTGAATTGTTCATTAAAAAACTTCTAAATTCAGATTTAATGAACACATTTTCTAATCTAAGGCCAAGAATACGTTGAAATAATGCTCATCACTCACACCACCATGCATGCCAGTTTTAGACACAGATCATCTTGTGTTTAAAAGTAATACCTTCAAACCTTGAAATTGCGTGCACACTCTCATGCAATATTGTGAGTTTATTTTATTCTATTTGTTTGTTTGGTTTGTTACTTTCCATACTCGTGTCCCCCCGTGTTATCACCCACTTCTTCCTCAATCAATTTCTGCTCCTTCAGTCATCTAACCACACCCAGTTACACCTGTTCTCTGTTCCATCAGCCACAGCTGCAGCCAATCGTCTCATCGGTCCCAGTCCTTATAGTCTCGCAGCTCACTTCACTTATCAGTCTGTCATTAATGAGCTTTAAGCCATGTCTGGTTTACTTCCTGTTCTCCTCCATTTATTGTGTGAACGCTTATGAAGCACCCACACTATTGTGATCCATTTTTCTTCCTTGTATTTTTTGGGCACAATTCTCGTCCTGCAGTTTTTGTGCTATTTAAACAAATCATAAATCAAAACATTCATCTCTTTTAGGACAATCCTGCTATGACTTTTGGTATTGGTGCAACTTTAGCCTTTTGAAATATTCAGCCTTTTCTGCTGCTTTTTTCTCATAGGAAATAAATTGAGCTCATTTTACATCCTTCATATCTTTAGATCTGTTTACAACCTTTTACTGCTCCTTTCACATTTTGTTCTAGTTCAGCTTCTTTCAGCTTCCTTGTGTAAATTTAAACTGTATTCAGCTGTGTGTGTGTGTGTGTGTGTGGGGGGGGGGGGGTCAGTTGTTTTTCGCTCCTTTCAGATTATTTCTGCTAACTACAAAATTTTTGTGCTTCTTCTAACTTCTTTTTGCTCCTTTCAGCTTATTTCTGCAAGTCTCAGCTTTTTCTGCTATTGCGCCTACCTTTTAGCTATTTATGCTAATTTTAGCTTTTTCAGGTAATTCCACATTTTTTGCACTATTTTCAGCTTTTTTCAGCCTAATTCAGCAACAATGTGCTCTCCACTTCTTGTAATTTCAGCTACTTTCTTCTTTTGTAGTTATTTTTCAGCTGTTTTTTGCTGATTTCAACTTTTTTCAGATAATTTAAACCTTGTTTTCACATTTCAGCTTCTTTCGAACTATTTGGGCCAGCATATGTTCTTTCTGCTTTCTTATGCTAATTTAAGCTTGTTCTAAATTTTCAGCTAGCCTTTTTTTATTTTTTAGCATTTTATAGCTAATTTCAGCTGTTTTCCGATAAATCCAAGATTTTTGTGGTAATTTCTACTACTTTCAGTGTAATTAACTTCGTTCTGCTAATTTCAGCTTGTTATGCTCCTTTCAGCTTTTTTCTGATAGTTTTAGCTTTTTCTACAATTTCAGCTACATTTTAGCTGTTTTTATGCTAAATTTAGCTTTTTCAGTTAATTCCACATTTTATTGCTCATTTAAACTTTTTTGTGCTAATTTCAGCTTTTTTAAGCTAATTTCCTAATTTTTGTGCGCATTTCTGCTTATTTAATATTAATTCAGCAATTGTTTTTTCTGGCTTCTTCTGCTAACGTAGGCTTGCTCTTACATTTCAGCTACTTTTCAGCATGTTTTTAGCTAATTTCAGCTGTTTTTCAGCAAGTTCTTCAGCGATAAGCATTCACACTGCATTTTTGCAGGAAATGCAATTTCTCTAATATTATTATTGGATGTTTATGCATATGTGCATATGTTGTGGATGACTCTCGTTTACAATCACACAGAAGTTTAGCAGTGTCAGTAAAATGACTCAATTATAGCCATTTTTGTTTTCTAAGATCAGTAAGATGTGGCAGCCATCTTGAATCAGGTTGACTCCCACAATTAATGAGTTGTAGATAAACCTCCACTGATTACTTTCTGGAAATTTAATTTAAATCCTTCCAGTGTGATGATGGTTCAGAGAAACAAATACACGCCCACACACAGATGAAAACATTATCACTTCGCCTTTATCTTAGTTAAAAATAAAAACAGGAACATTCAAACACTCCACTCATATTTTTTTCATCAGGGTCACACAGAGGGGGAGGTTTCACCTGAGCGTCCGTCTCTCTGGAAGTCAACATGGTACCATTCACCGTCATTGACCTTTCTGTCAATGGCCTTGGTCTTAGTGGTTCCTGAGCCCATGTCCAGCAGCAGGTACAGGTGACCATCCAACATTTCAATGGCAAAAAAATCCACCTGCAAGTTTAACACACAAGGCATCAGTATTCTGAACAATACAGGGAGACATGCAAATAAGAAAAAAGGCTTAGTGTATTTACTGAAATAGGACTTATTTTGGTTTAGTTTAACTTTTAAAAGTTATTCCTCTGATCCCATAAAGATGCCACTATTTGGAGTTGAATGGGAAATAAGGCTTCAAGTTTGACTGGATTAATAATTGTCAATCAGATTTTGATTGTTCACAGAAAATGGTGATCAAAGACATAATTCTTTAGCACAAGTAGTGAATTCTAAATGCACAGAAATAATAATTAAAAAAAAAACATACAACACAAAGGTTTGATTGGAAGTCCAGTTGTTTTTGTATTGAATGTTTTTTGAATTTATCATGTCCTGGATGACTGAGAATCTTCACCAGCAAAAGGAATAGTAGTAAAAGTTGCCATAAATTTTCATTCAGTTATTTATAATTGTAAATTTTCTCAGCATTAAGGTGGATGATATATTTTCCCTGCACTTTAGGTCCCATCATACTAATAGTATTTGAGTTTTTAATTTTATATTATTAAAACGTCATGACAGCTGCTTATTTGATTACAGATGAACCTGTCTCACTCAGGACAACAAATTTTTTATAATCTGATTTTTTTTTTTTAAATCTCGTTTGTTGATAATCATGTTGGCAGTTGTTTTTATTGTTAGCTTATACCGTTAAATATGGGAGGATGATATTAATGAACTGCAAATAAAATCATTGGGACATTTGTCAAAACCACAATCAAGTATGGAAGGATTTTTTATTATTATTATTATTCATTGCAACATGTGCAACATCACTGCAAGACAGCTAGTTTAAAATAAACTGGAAGGGTTCCAGTTAACCCAAACGAAGCATAATAAAGGTGTCTGATAGAACTCTTTTAGATTAAAAAAAAAAATTCTAATTGAAACCCCAGAAATTATTTTGGGCAGATTATACTTCATAATCTTTCTTTTCTTTTTTTAATCTCCAAAATGCTCGAGAAAATAGTGCACAGTCAGTTAATTGTCTTTCCTGACGAGCATACCATCCTCGAGGTTTTCAAGTCCGGTTTTAAAACTCTCCACAGTACTGACTCAGCTCTTTTAAAAGTTTTTAATGACATCCTTTTAACTACTGACTTCAGTGATGTGCCATCCTTGTGCTTTTGGATCTAACAGCTGCTTTTTACATCGTCAACCATGACATTCTATCTATCAGTGGTAGGGATGTACGAGATTATCAGCAAGCTATCGGCCAATATTAGCGATAAAGTTAAATATCGGGCATCGGCCATTCCATCAAAATAACTCACCGATATAAAAGGTGCTGTTTTTGTATGACAACCCAGTGACAAGGATGCCTGCAGCGCCAGCACAATGTTATGACATCACGCACACCGATGAGTTTAGATTTGTGAAAATTTACAAATTTGCACTGTTCGAGTGTTGTCATTGTGTTGGAGACAGTAAATGTCATAAATAAATTTGACATTAAACATAATCCAAGTTGAAGTGTTAAATCATTTTCAGCCCGCATTTTGGCATCTGTGTATATATATATATATATATATATATATATATATATATCGGTATTGGTATCGGTTATCGGACAAATAAGTTTTAACATATCGGCATATTGGCCAAAAATCCAGTATCGTGCATCCCTAATCAGGGGTGTTCCTTAAAATGTTTCAGGTCCTGTTTGACAAACCGAACGTTCTCTGTTGGTCTTGAGGGGTCAGTAACCTCCTCTTCTATTTTTGTGGAGTCCCTCAAGCCACAGTTTTAGGCCAACTTTTGTTTTCTCTCTATCTACTCCCTCTTGGTTGCATACTCGGAGAGAATGACATTTCATTCCATTGTTATGCAGATGACAGTCACATTTATGTCCCTCTTAAAAAATTAAACACATATTCAATCAATCTGCTTCTTATGTGTGTTGAGGACATAAAGGCCTGAATGGCAATTAACTTTATGAGTTTTAACAAAACCAAGACCAAGGTGCTGGTTTATGGGGGTACTACTGGGCCCTCCCCTCTAGATCTAGGTTTCTTCACCTGGTACAGCAAATTGGCAGTGAGGAATTTGGGAGTTGAATTTGATCCTGAACTTAAATTGGACAACCAGATCAGGTCAGTTGTTAAAAGAAGTTTTTATCATTTGAGACAGCTAGCTAAAATAAAACCCATCATTCCAAAAAGACACTTTGGGACAATAATCCATGTCTTTGATAAAACCCACTTGTTATCTTTGGTTTTTAACACTTTGTAAAGGGTTGATTTATTTATTTGTATCAGATTTAAATTTTTGTAGATTTTATTGTTTGATCAGATCTTGCGCATTTTATTGCCTGATTTTATTTCACTTGTGGTTTGATTGTATGTTTTATTGCATGTGCCATGTTTCAATGCTGATTCTGTACAGCACTTTGGTCTGCTGTGGTATCTAGCGTGCTTTACAAATAAACTTGTATTGGATGATTCTGGGCTCTCTTTACAGTAGTACAAAAAATGAATCCATTCATCTTTTTTTTTTTCTTTTGAGGTTTTTTCATGAAAATTTATTTTTCACCTTGACAGTGGGAGGCGTGCGTGGGTCTTTGCGTTGCAGTTGTCTGGGTTTGCCGTGGCTGAAGAGCATCAGTCCGTTTGGCTCTGTGGTCCTGAAGTCAAACGAGATGGATCCTGCCTTCTTTGCCGTCCACTTGCTTAGCGCTACATATGACTCTGGGGTGTCAAAGGTCACTGGGTCCAGCGTTGCTACACTCTCGCACTTAAAGGACACAACTCCGCTAACCTGGGACAGAAATGGTTTCAGTATTTAAAGGTTTGGACTATTGAGTCCCTGCAGTGACATAAAGAACTAACATGCTTTTTTTGGTAGTCTGAATCTGAAATCGAGCCGGCTGTAAAACAACTAAGACAAAAGTGTGACTGTCTCTCAAAAATATAACCCTATTTAGTTAAAATCCTTACAGTTTAAGATTCATGGGACACACCAG